GTTTCCTTTGAGTTTGGCATGTGAGGTCGTTAGACCCCTCCCCCCGGCCAATCTGAGTATTAGAAAGAATTTTGGATTGCTATTGAAAAAAATTAAGATAACTACATCAGAGAGTTGGAAAAGAGGGGTTAACCCCGTGCACAAATTAAACGGGACGCCCGTGGCGCCAGCAGGCTAGGGGTGCCGGCGCCGTGCGACCTTTCAAAGATTAACCGGCACCTTTCCGCTAGCTAGCCTTGTGGAAGGCCGGTCCCATGAAAAATAAATAGCAACGCGCACCAGACTAGCCAGTGCGATTATGCGTTTTGTGCAATTCCGCTCACCGAACGACTGCCTACTAATGACTTTCACTGTTTTGCACTTTAGTCTGTGCAAAAAAATAGGTGAAATGTTGTCTGGTTCTTAAGTTGCGGAATTTCCCACTAGAAATTTCACGTATACGAGATAATAACTTCTCTGTCAAAACTTCCACGGGGCTGTACGTGGTACCCAGGGGTGCGCGAAGGCTGAGTCCAAATTTTCGGGGTCGTACGTTTGTAGAGCAGACCATCTTAAAATTTCAGATTCTCAACTTCCGCGGTCCCCGAGATAATAATTTTCCCCGCCGAAACTTCCACGGGGCCGTAAGTGATAATCGGATGCGCGGAGAACTGAATTTAAAATTGCAGGATTGTATGTGGACGGAAGACATTACCATAAAATTTCAGCTTCCTGGCTTTTATGATTCCTGAGATAATAATTTCCCGCAAAAATCTTCACGAGGCCATAGCTGATACCCGAGAACACAGGAACGCTGAATTTGAAAAGGGAAGATCGAGCGTGGGCAGGGAGTCATTACGCTAAAATTTCAGCTTCCTAGACTCCGCGGTTCCCGAAATAATAATTTACCCGTCAAAAATTTTCACGGGGCTGTACGTGTTACCCGCGAGCAGGGGGAAGCTGAATTAGATTTTCTGGGTAGCACATGGGCGGAGAGGATGCCCACAAAATTTCAGCCTTCTAGCTTCCGTGGTTCTCGTAATATTAATTTTATCTGCCCAAACTTTTACGGGGTCGTACCTGTTACCCGCGGGCACGAGACGGCTGAATTTAAATTTGCAGGATTGCACGTGAGTGGGGAACGTTCCTCCAAATTTTCAGCTTCCTAGCTTTTGTGGTTCCCGAGTTGAAAGTTGTGGACAAGTTGCTG